CTTAAATAAACATGCATGACATGACACATGCACATCTAACAACACCTGCCCCCCCCCATATATACACAAACGCAGATTTAAAGAAACCCCTACAGAGATCAAAATTAAACCTGTACAATTTAAAAATGACACCTGAACCAAATGGTGATAGGAGACACCTCATTTCAATGATTTGAAATGTAGCCTGTACAAATAAGAGAAGCTGCACCTCCATGGAGCAGGTAGAGCAGCGTCTGAAAGGAGGGGGTGCAGCTTTTTAACGAGACTGTGTTTTAAAAACTAAAGAGACCGTAACACAGAAATGAATCTCATGTAAAAATGTGTGGGAGGATTTTCTTGTTGTATTTCTTCCAAACCGGACAACAAACAGGCGGTGATCAGAGCTGCAGGTCTCTCCCCTCTGAGGATCTAATGACCAGCAGGGGGCAGCAGAGACCAACTCAAGACCATGTCTCACAGGACTCCAGTATACTGCTACAACTTCTTCTACTCACACACTTCTAATATTAATATTATCTTATGTATAACACGACTTCTTCTTCTGCTTCTTTTACAACTTCAAAAATATTTTAGGAGTCAGAGGAAAGATGTCAAAGAAAGACGTTCAGCACAAACAAACTCCAAACATACAAACTGATTTCTAGTGGAAAGAATCTGATTACTTTCTGATACTTGTGTGTTTCCTCCTTCTTTATCTCTTCTCCTTCTCTCCTTCCTCTTTCCATTCTCCCCCCTTACCTCCTCTCCTCCCACCCTACCTGTCTCTTTCTTACCTCTCCTGTCTCCCCTCTTCTCCTACCTCCTTTTCTTACCTCTCCTCCTTCTTCCCCATCTCCTCTTCTCCCTCCCTCCCTCCCTCTCTCCTATCCTCCCTTACTCCTCCAAAACTTTCTAATGTCCTCTCCTCCTTCCTTCCCTCCTCTCCTCCTTACTTCCCTCCTATTCTATCTCTCTCTCTCCTACTTCCTCTCCTCCCTCCTCTCCTATCTCCCTCGCTGCTCTCCTCCCTCCTTCCTCCCCTCCTCTCCTCCTTCCTCCCGTCCTCTCTCATCTCCTCCTTCCTTCCCTCCTCTTCTATCTACCTCTCTCCTTTCCTCCTTCCTCCCCTCCCCCCTCCTCTCCTCCTTCCTTCTCTCCTCTCATCCCCCTCTCCTCTCCTCCTTCCTTCCCTCCTCTCATCCCCCTCTCCTCTCCTTGTTCCTTCCTTCCCTCCTGTTCTATCATCCTCTCTCCTCTCCTCCTTCCTCTCCTCTCCTCTCCTCTCCTCTCCTCCTCCCTCCATCTCTCATCTCCTCCTTCCCTCCTCTTCTATCTAACTACCCTATCTACCCTATCCTCCTTCATCCACTCCCCCCTCCTTTCCTCCTTCCTTCCCTCCTCTCCTCCCCCCTTTCCTCTCCTCCTTCCTCTCCTCCCTCCTCTCCTCTTTCCTCCTTTCCTCACCCCTCTCCTCCTTCCTTCCCTCCTCTCCTCTTTCCTCCCCTCCTCCTCTCCTCCCTCCCTCTCTCCACTCCTCCTTCCTTCCCTCCTCTCCTCCTCTCCTTACCTTCTGTGGGAGAGAAGCAGGATGGTTTTCCACGATCAGTCTCTTGAGGTAGTGAACCCACAGTCTCTTCTCCTCCTGGTTCTTAGTCTGCAGAGATAAAAGAGGAAGTGATCACCGAGTCACAGGAAACACTTTTACTTCCCTGACAGCCTGAAGGAAACACGATGCAGCAGCTTCTCACCTGGACGACGTGCTGCTGTTTGGGGATGGTCTGATCGGACACTTTGAAACACAGAGGATCCTTCAGAGTCTCCACCAGCAGCAGATTACAACACTGCAGCACACACACACACACACACACACACACACACACACACACACACACACGAGAAATAACAGTTAGTATTAGTTAAAATCAGCTGGTTTCAGATAAATCATCTTAACAATATTAACATTCAGATTTCAGCCTCGAGTGAAAATGTTTCCTGAATGAGACAGATCGATGGAAACGTACGAATATGTGCGTGCTGTAGATGAACTGCTCCAGCCTCTTCTTGGCGATCAGCAGCATCTTATCGAACAGGAAGAACGCCCTCTCCTTCTTCACTCTTTGGACTTTAAAGGAACCTTCCAGAACCAGCTCTCCAAACCCGCTGAGGTCCGGCCCGCTCCAGTTCATCAGCAGGGACTCGATCTCCTGAGGGGAGGAGTCAAAAGGTGAATGACTGGAGTGTCATCAATCAATAAGAGCTGGTTGTATAAATCATCGAGAATCGTTTGATTCTTCACATGTAACAAAAAGAAAACTCTGAAAATGTTTGTCAGCTTTCAGAGTTAGTACCACACCCTTTTTTAATGAATGACTAAATGTTCTCTCTGAACTCTGCTGTGAACATTTCACCTCCGCTCCCAGCTGCTGAGAGGTCAAAGGTTAACACCTGGGCACTTCCTGCTGCAAGAACCTTCAGGGGTTAAAGTTTAAACTTATGAAACTCAGGTCGGCTCAACGTCCCC